CCCGTATGTCACCTGTTAAGGCTCAGTCACAAATTCGGGATTTTTACTGCCGTCCTTGATAGGACCATTCCCGATTAAAATCTGTCAAAAGTCTGATCAAGGTCCTGTGATTCGTGGCGGGAAATTGACAATCAAATATTGTTCAGGAAGCGTCCCGATTCAGTTGTTTCAAGCCGAATTCGTCTCGATTCTCCCGTTCTCAATCTGATCCGATTTGTATCTTCCGAAAGGTAAATAACGACCGAATCTGTCCCGACAGCGTCCCGATTCTCCCGAACTCGATCCGACAGAGATCACACAATGACCGGACAGTGAACTGACAAAAGCGGTTCGCATTCGGCAAGATCTGGACGCAATCTGGCCTCAATCGACAAGAAACGGCAGTGAACAGTTCATGCCCGTTCATCACGACAGCGTCCCGATCCACAGGACACGGTCCAGACAACACAGGACATTGTTAAGATTTTGATCCGATACATCAGAATCTGTCACGACATAGTCACGATTGTAATCTGACCAGACAAAAATCGGCTGAGTTTCCCGAATGTTACGGGACGCACCTTACTGTCGGGAGTGCTTGGCTGACCTTTCCCGATCCGTAGGACTCTGTTACGAACGTTTACGACTGCGTTCAGACAATGATAGGATATTCCAGATCATTGAGGATAGTAATCCGACTTTTTCACTTTTCGTGTCGTAGCGCTGTCTGATCCCAAACGGGAGCCATAATCGGCACTGTGTGAACCTGGCCTTACATGCATAGTCACCGGGTCGGCAGTCATGGGCTGCTGAAGACGGGTAGCACGTTGTGACAGACTTTCATACATCTGATCCTGTCTCGATTATTTACAGACCACAGTGATATAGCGAACCGCGGCGTTCATCAACATTCATCAGTCGCCCAACAGCTCGATGTTGCTTACACAATGCTATTATTTGTATATCGTCCCGGACTCGATTATTTACAGACCGCCGTCATATGGCTGGAATATCCTGAGTGCGGCGTAAAACAACAAACCAACCAACCAAAGAACCAGTTATAAGATTGCTCAGATAAATTGCTATTTCCCTACACTATATAATCGAAGCAACTTGACATCAGGACAAATAAACCAATAACAAGTCAAGCTAGATATGTGTACATACGTCGTCATTGATGACGTCGGGCATGAGGCCAACCCCATATGGCGCCGTTGTGCAACCTTACTTCCAGCTATGGTAGAGAATATTCAGTTTACGATTTAGGGCTAGTTAGCAACTGTTAGATTTATCTGAATATGACAAGACATCGGTTTAAAAATCATGGTTTATTTGGCTACTTTGTTCAGATATATTTACATCACTTCTGGCCCGATCTTGCTTTACAGCCGTCACTCTAGCCAACAGAATCTGTGTCATACGGAAGCCTTTGCCATTCACAAAATGGTTTATTTCTATCGTCTCGTTGGGGGTTAAACAACTGGGATTCAGTCCGCAAAAAAATATCCAATTTCCACGTTTCCAAAATTGATGCTACATGCGAGTAAGCATTATTTTTCTCTCTTGGGTAGCACTGGGCGGACTGGGTGTTTTTTTAAATAAACGTAAGTCTTGCGTTGGCAATGTGATATATTGTCCTGGTGGTATTTTGAGAAGTTGTACGTTCTTTTATGGTCACGTGTTGTGTTTATATGGTGAACAGATATGTGAACAATACTGATATTTATACAATACACAACATGTAATGATGTCATGTACATGGAACATAATGTGGAACTAGGTGGGTTTGCAAAACATATGTTTGACTAGCGTTATGCAGAATACATCATTCGGGTTTATTTTCAAGACCGATGGATTCCCAAACCAACGACTGAACCATGTATATACTTGCATTAATGTGGCTAGCTGTTATCTGTCTGAAAAGTGACGAAATATCTATGCAATTGCTCGGAATGCACTGTGGTTTGGGGATCATTCTTTATGGCATTCGTTTTTGTTCTCACCAGCCTTAATATTGTTGCAAATACTAATAAAAGCAAAGTAGCCCGTTACTACGCCTGACGTTAAGACTACGACGTCCAGAAGTCCATGATGTGACCCCCCAATCCACAATCCAATCTCTGTGACAACCCCCAATCTCTACCACAAGCAGTGGGTACATAGAACACCGCTGTGATTCCGGGTTTGCATAGGTCCTCACACCCTAGCAACCTATATTTGTCGTAAGAGTGACTTGGTTGATTGTCATTGATGCCAAATCTAATCAAATCAAATCTTTTGCTCAAATACGATGTCTGTCTGCTTGACATTTTTATCTTTCTAATCAGCCAACCAGCGTCAACGCTTTTGAATTGTCGGTACAAGTGAGCGAAGCATTCAGACAAGCATATTTGATTTCTCGAAAACAAATATAATCGGGAAGTTCCGAATGTAAAACAATAAAGCCGCGCTAATGTGGATAATCATCATGCTGTCTCTAATCACATTGAATCTACACTCTGAGGTATGTACTATCGAAGGTGTATTTGTGTTTGTCGCAGTTTTTATTTTCATTTGCTGAGATCGAAATTCCAAATTGAGGTGGTAAAGAAATGATGCCGAATTGTTTTAGAGAGCTGACATCTGACAACCGGCACAAGGACTCACGTATCCTTCGTTAAGTTTGGTCACCTCCTTTGCAGGGAGGTGTCGTAAGAGGAGTAAACAGTCTAATTTAATAACAGTGACCATTCCTCGGTGTCGTTGGTCGTTGTTTATAATATCAGTCACTGGATTGCCTTGTCTAGGCTAGATTATTTACAGGCCGCCGTTATAAAGCTTGTATTTTGCGGCGTTAAACAACACTGAACATTAAAACTAACATAGACCCATCGTCTATCCAGGCGTTGCATGGACTTTGAAGCTGATCGTGACTCGTGAGATAAATCACGATGGTCGGATTGCAATCTTTTGCATCTGGAAATTGGCAATTTACCAATGTTTACCTTACTGGATACGACAAATTCGCCACGATAACTTTAATAACATATAAACATAACTCGCCACAGCAACTGTCCTCGAAAGCATAAATCTTCCAATAGAATGGTGTCTGTAATCCGTGTTCCCATGGCAACAATTTTCTGTTTATTATCGCGAGCGACCAAAGTAAAAACATTATCTTCTTACATAACCACTAACTGATAATTTTATAGACCTGTAGTTCTTCCTTAATCAATTTTCTTTTGAACTTTGGTTAAAAATCCCATACTTTTAATCTAACATGGAGCGAAAGAAACTGCAATATTCGTGATAGGTCGGAAGTGCTCATTAAAGGTCGTACGATGGAGAGTCTTGGATCCATGGGTTATCAGTGCTGGAGATTATAGTCTAGGAGCATTAACCACAGAGAGTATTAACGTAATGTGGTATTTAACAATGATATTGCCTGTCAATGAGGTAAATTCAAATATGTGTTATAAGGCGAAAAGTCTTCTATACCGCTCAACTACTGAAAGGAATTCGGTGACCAGGCTACGCTGAAAAGATGTTGTCATACGAAAAAAAAGATTCTTGCGCTTTCAGCTTCAATCACGTTTAATGACCATGACTATGATTACACAAGTTTTATCTATATAATATAATGAAACATCTTGGCACTCCTATAAAAAAAGACTTATGTATTGTATTAGTTCGTGTATGGTATATCCGTTATGAAAATCCCCGACTAACTTATTTTACTGCTGTGGCAAATTGTTTCATGAAATCATGTCTCTCTGAATTTATGTCCTGCTTTAACTTAAGAAAAATAAAACGGGGTAATTAAGTAGTATTGGGAAGTGGGGTTTAGATTAATTAAACTTTCATTGTGAATGAATAATGTCATCATGACATACTCCTCGGTAACATTGAAGTTCCCCCTGAAAATGTGATGGCGGAGAGTTCTCTACTCTTATCATCTGTATGGGCATGGAACACAAACAGTACGAGATTTCCTAAGTTTTACTGTTTAATGTCAATTTGTTCTGACAATTTGTTTTCCACATCTATTAGGTAAGTATGCACTTTACAGTAGTGGCGTTTTCGTTTGTTCAAATCGTGTAACTATATGATTGGCACGGGAGACGTATTTTCTAATTAATTCATGATTAATGAAGGCACACAACGTGCACTTGGATCAATATACAAGAGACATTCGTTGTCAATCAAATAGCCACACAACGAACAACACCCGCAACAATTCCATACATACACTCCTGTTCAAAACATATGTCCCCACCAGCGCTACCGAAGAATGTAATTTTCACGCTTGCGATCATGTTTGTTTGTGTCCTATTGTCAAAACAAACGAAATTCGTCGAAATTGATCTAAGTAACATTTGTTTTGAAAAGGAGTGTATCTATTTCGTCGGAGTAAGGATCGGCAGAAGGTGTCATATCAAAATAGAACGAGACGACTAAGTCAATTACTGCCGTTACCAAAGCCATCTTGAAAAAAACTTAAACCGGATGTCTTGTGGGAAAAGCGGCCGCCATATTGAAATGTCAGCGTTTGCAATGTGTTTCTTTCATAATTGGTCCCCTCTGATACTGCCAGGATTACCTACAAAGCGCTCTTGTGATAAAAATATGTCTTAATTGGCTCTTGGTGATTCCGGTTGTGATTGCTGTGTCGCTTGTTATGAGATAAACTGTACTTTCTGATTCCAAGCGAGGGGTTCACCACTGTGCCATGGATGTTGTTTATCATTGACAACAGTCTGTTCGCATTTCGCCAGTATACACTGAATGCCTGACGCGTGCGTGCTTTTCCTAGGGTTATTAATTTGGCGTGTCAGGTCATACTGACATAAAGCCATGACCTGTGTCAGGTCAAGGAATTAAACGCTCTTGATAAAAATAAAACATGCCTTTTTCATTAGATAAAAACAAAAGGTTCGTGATGCAAGGCCAATCGTAAATGTGGTGAACTACATGGCATGATTGAGACACACGTATACACCGAGACGCGTGAGCATAATTTACGAACGTATTTAATCAGTGCATTACGTTTCTTTATTATCAACACCCCTTTGAGGAACATCTTTTTTTATGTTTCTGTGTTGTGTGACGTGCGGAGTGTTCAGGAGCGGAGTAGGGTGCAGGTTGTGGGTGGGAGGTGTGGGATAGGGTGCAGGTTGTGGGTTGAGGGGTGGGGTAGGGTGCAGGTTGTGGGTGGGAGGTGTGGGGTAGGGTGCAGGTTGTGGGTGGGAGGTGTGGGGTAGGGTGCAGGTTGTGGGTGGGAGGTGTGGGGTAGGGTGCAGGTTGTGGGTGGGAGGTGTGGGGTAGGGTGCAGGTTGTGGGTGGGAGGTGTGGGATAGGGTGCAGGTTGTGGGTGGGAGGTGTGGGGTAGGGTGCAGGTTGTGGGTGGAGGTGTGGGGTAGGGTGCAGGTTTTGGGTGGAGGTGTGGGGTAGGGTGCAGGTTGTGGGTGGGAGGTGTGGGATAGGGTGTAGGTTGTGGGTGGAGGTGTGGGATAGGGTGCGGATTGTGGGTGGGAGGTGTGGGATAGGGTGCGGATTGTGGGTGGGAGGTGTGGGATAGGGTGCAGGTTGTGGATGGAAGGTGTCGGATAGGGTGCAGGTTGTGGGTGGGTAGTGTTGGATAGGATGCAGGTTGTGGGTGGGTGGTGTGGTATAGGGTAGAGGTTGTGGGTGTAGGTTGTGGGATAGGGTGCAGGTTGTGGATTGAAGGTGTGGGATAGGGTGCGGATTGTGGGTGGTAGGTGTGGTATAGGGTAGAGGTTGTGGGTGTAGGTTGTGGGATAGGGTGCAGGTTGTGGATTGAAGGTGTGGGATAGGGTGCAGGTTGTGGATTGAAGGTGTGGGATAGGGTGCGGATTGTGGGTGGGAGTTGTGGGGTAGGGTTCAGGTTGTGGATGGAAGGTGTGGGATAGGGTGCGGATTGTGGGTGGGAGATGTGTCGGATAGGGTGTAGGTTGTGGGTTGAGGTGTGGGGTAGGGTGCGGGTTGTGGGTGGAAGGTGTGGGATAGGGTGCGGATTGTGGGTGGAGGTGTGGGATAGGGTAGAGGTTGTGGATGGAAGGTGTGGGATAGGGTGCGGATTGTGGGTGGAAGGTGTGGGATAGGGTGCAGATTGTGGGTTTGGAGGTGTGGGATAGGGTGTAGGTTGTGGGTGGAGGTGTGGGGTAGGGTGCAGGTTGTGGATGGAAGGTGTGGGATAGGGTGCAGGTTGTTGGTGGGAGGTGTGGGGTAGGGTACAGGTTGTGGGTGGAGGTGTGGGATAGGGTGCAGGTTGTGGGTGGGAGGTGTGGGATAGGGTGCGGATTGTGGATGGAAGGTGTGGGTAGGGTGCAGGTTGTGGATGGAAGGTGTGGGATAGGGTGCGGATTGTTGGTGGGAGGTGTGGGGTAGGGTGCAGGTTGTCGGTGGAGGTGTGGGATAGGGTGCAGGTTGTGGGTGGAGGTGTGGGATAGGGTGCGGATTGTGGGTGGAGGTGTTGGGTAGGGTGCAGGTTGTGGGTGGAGGTGTGGGATAGGGTGCGGATTGTTGGTGGAGGTGTGGGATAGGGTGCGGATTGTTGGTAGAGGTGTGGGGTAGGGTGCAGGTTGTGGGTGGAGGTGTGGGGTAGGGTGCAGGTTGTCGGTGGAGGTGTGGGGTAGGGTGCAGGTTGTGGGTGGAGGTGTGGGATAGGGTGCAGGTTGTTGGTGGAGGTGTGGGATAGGGTGCAGGTTGTGGGTGGAGGTGTGGGGTAGGGTGCAGGTTGTGGGTGGAGGTGTCGGGTAGGGTGCAGGTTGTGGGTGGAGGTGTGGGGTAGGGTGTAGGTTGTGGGTGGAGGTGTGGGATAGGGTGCGGATTGTCGGTGGAGGTGTGGGATAGGGTGCAGGTTGTGGGTGGAGGTGTGGGATAGGGTGCGGATTGTCGGTGGAGGTGTGGGATAGGGTGCAGGTTGTGGGTGGAGGTGTGGGATAGGGTGCGGATTGTCGGTGGAGGTGTGGGATAGGGTGCAGGTTGTGGGTGGAGGTGTGGGGTAGGGTGTGGATTGTTGGTGGAGGTGTGGGGTAGGGTGCAGGTTGTGGGTGGAGGTGTGGGGTAGGGTGCAGGTTGTCGGTGGAAGTGTGGGATAGGGTGCAGGTTGTGGGTTGAGGTGTGGGATAGGGTGCAGGTTGTGGGTGGAGGTGTGGGATAGGGTGCAGGTTGTCGGTGGAGGTGTGGGATAGGGTGCAGGTTGTGGGTTGAGGTGTGGGATAGGGTGCAGGTTGTGGGTGGAGGTGTGGGGTAGGGTGCAGGTTGTGGGTTGAGGTGTTGGATAGGGAGCGGGTTGTGGATGGGAAGTGTGGGGTAGGGTGCAGGATGTGGGTGGGAAGTGTGGGGTAGGGTTCAGGTTGTGGGTGGGAGATGTTGGACAGGGTGTAGGTTGTGGATGTGAGGTGTGAGATAGGGCTCGGGGTGTGGGTTGGACTTGTTGGGTGGTGTCTAACACAACACATTTTATTTAAAAAAGGGAAATACGATTACCTTGTCGTTTTTCACAAGAAATTAAATTACATTGCTCTGTTATTTAGCGGTTGGCGAAAACATATGCCCAAAGAGATGAACCCGAAGGTCATCCGGCTTGAACGGAATGGATTTCAATATCTGTCCAGGGCCCGCTCCGCAAAGCGATGTTAGTGCTAAGATGATCGTAACTCCCATGCGTTAACGTTGACTTACAACAGTCGAAGAGCTGAGATCCCTTTGTCGGATGGGGCCCTGGACTGTTTGATACCACGTAAATGTTCACGTTCCATGATCACGCGAAAAGAAAGTTTACAATGTACATAGTAACAATCATGTGTGCATCGTCAATGCTTTTCACGGCTAATAACGTCTTTTTCTCTTAGCAACCGCAACTCAAGACAGCTAATGGCCATGGTGAAGCTTGTGCTGACATCATTAATGAGATCGTTTACTTCGTCGTTAGTCCGTCTGGTCATTTATGTACATGAAACACCAGACACATAGGCATGGCGATTTACAGTAAATTACCATATCTCTCATGCCCATGCGAATGAGGGACTACGCATCGTAATCTGGACAGGTTGTCCATGTTTTGTCTACGCGTGTCTTGTATAGAACTGGTGGACTCGCCTCTGTTGAAATAGAATAATCATCAGCTGTTACATTGATACATACTAAAATATGAGAAAACAAAGTGTTTACACGACTTTAATCAAATATGCCAGAACGCAAAATTTGCCCGAGCCCTGGCGTCATTTGGAATGAAACGTAAATAGAAATAGTACATCCGGAATGTGAACACCGATTTTAAAATCACCTATTTTCATCAGCATTGATCATATTAAGATCACTAACTACGGTGTTGTTTTTTTTGCTGATGTCATTTGTTTCATGTCCGCCTTCACGTTCGAAATATGAATTACCGTCCCTAGCTCCTGCTGGGGTGAGGGAGTGACGTCAGGCCTTGGCCAGTACGGACATGTGATACTGAACAGCGTGAGGCATCAGCCTGTGGTTGTTCTATTATTGCAGTAGTATAGCCTCGGTTCTACTGGTCCAGATCCCACGGGGGACTCCAACCACAGGGGACGGTTTTACCGGTCCAGATCCCACGGGGGACTCCAACCACAGGGGACGGTTCTACTGGTCCAGATCCCACGGGGGACTCCAACCACAGGGGACTGTTCTACTGGTCCAGATCCCACGGGGGACTCCAATCACAGGGGACGGTTGTGCTGGGCCAGATCCCATGGGGGACTCCAATCACAGGGGACGGTTGTGCTGGGCCCGATCCCACGGGGGGAGTCCAACCACAGGGGACGGTTGTGCTGGGCCAGATCCCATGGGGGACTCCAATCACAGGGGACGGTTGTGCTGGGCCCGATCCCACGGGGGGAGTCCAACCACAGGGGACGGTTGTGCTGGGCCCGATCCCACGGGGGCAGTCCAACCACAGGGGACGGTTGTGCTGGGCCAGATCCCATGGGGGAGTCCAATCACAGGGGACGGTTGTGCTGGGCCCGATCCCACGGGGGCAGTCCAACCACAGGGGACGGTATGCTATTAAAAACTGCCGACGAATTCCATGTTCGTCGTGCTCCACGATCGGATGCTTTAGGTGAGGTGAGGTTCAAGATTATTTTCCTTTTTTACAGCGACATGTTTTGCCCGAGCGTCTGGCTGCTTGTACTAGTGCATTATGCTTGCCTACTGAGATACTAAGGTTGTTGTATAACGCCGCATTCCGCAATATTGCAGCAATATGGCGACGGCTTGTAAATTATCGAGTCTGAAACAGACACACCAGCGATCAATTATAAGCAACGCCGTCGGGGTACGATGACACGCAAATCAACCAGTCACCGAGTCTGACCATCCGATCCATTCAGGCACCCTTTGCGACCAATCTATTTTAACCCGGAATTTCCCACCGAGTTGGGTGAGTGAGTGAGTTTGGTTTATCACCCTTGTGAACAGTTATATGACGACGTGTCACCTTGATGTGGGAGGAAAGCCCGAAGTCTCACGCTGTAGGGGTGTGGGTAATACTGTCTACGTAGCTAGAGTTTCGAGGATACGACCTCTCATAAAATATCTTTCTAATTCCTCTATTAAACTGACACACCGGTCCAATCCTGTATCATAATTTACCTTACTATCAGCAGCAGAGAAATGTTCAATCTCCAAAAAAGAAACAACACAAAGTGATCTAATCTTTTCGTAAATACAACACGACCCTTCCGAAGGAAATGTGTTGGTTGGCTTTGAGGCTTGAAGGTGTCCTGTTCGTTAACGCTCATTTTGACTCAGACATAACAAAGGTGACGCGGTGCTTCTAGCTCACGCGACACCGCGTGGCTCACGTGCAGGTTCGTGACGTAAAAAGGAAACTGAATCAGCAAAGCGTTTCATTTGAATTCCTTGGCTGAAGAGAGAACGGTGTGATAAGGTGGCATGGTCTAAGTATATATATAGTGATTCGTACTTAATGACTTAAAAAGTTTGACGCAACCAAGATTAATTTACGTTTAGAACAGTGTTTTATGACATTTATGTAAGAATAATTAAGCACAATGAAAGTCTTTAATCAGGCTTTTGTTTAGGTATGGAAAACTGAAAATATGCAAAATGTATCTTCACAATTAATTCAAGTTCCAATGGCCCGCGTATCCATGGTGCCACAACGTCCCCGAGCCGTGCTAGAATCCACTGGTCTTGTGTTTGATTCCCCACGTCGCTCCGAATATGACCATTGGTCAGCACCGTACGCGTGCTGGTAGGGGGCGCGTTTGGGACCTGGCTGTCATCGTTTAAACACTCAAGGTGTTGGACTTATAACTGCTTCAAGGTCTGTGCCACGACTAAAAGTGTGTAAACTGCCAATGTCAATGATGTTTCTTACAACATTTTTTTGACGAGTCTTTACTGAATTTTCAGATCTTGTGTTCCTGGTGACGATCTTGCTCATTGTTCAGAACATTGGCAAATTTATTTGAGACATAAATTCGAATTTTAAATTGACAATAATATTTTGCTATTTAAAAAATTTAGATTTAATATTTGCTCTTCTGAACTTTTTAAAGGATTCCCCAACCCTAAATTTTCTTTCAAATCTACTTTGCGAAAAGTACCTTCAGTACCCATACGATAGTCTTGGTACTTGTGGAATGGACGCTTGTGTTCAATGATTACTAGACTACCAAAATGCCAAGCCTGTGTCTCTGAGAACACTCGGTGCTACAACGGACGTACAAGTACATGTACTCTGGCGCCCGAACAAATGTAGAACTGATAAGCCGCCGTGTAATATAAAGTACGATGAATGGCTTGACAGAGATGTGCGCTATATAAGTAACTATGAAGATTAACTATCCCCACTCCACTAAGTCACCTGGTACTAAACCCCACTCAAATGCCATTCCTGTCTTATTAATTTCCATGTTAGGTTCAGGTCCTTTAATCACACGATGTTGTACAGAAACACTCGGCATGATTTACTCTGCTAAAGTCGTTTATGCATTTTGTCACGAATGAAATTAATTCCAAAGGACCATTTCTCACCTTTGAGACTACTCTTTGTAATTAATACATTCATCTCATGGTGGTGTTGAGTCCAACAGACATAACATATATATTTCAGCTTTTTTGCTCGTATCAGGAAATTAATCAAAATCTTTATTATTGATTTTCCTTCGGTCGTCAATTTGCATTAACGTTCCCATGTTGGTGGTGCTGGTTGTGCAATAAATAAATGGGCACTCAATACTGTTAAACCTAAACATGTCCTTTACGGAAATGGGCTTGCTGGGGTGCGGTTTCTTTTTGGTTGTCGATGATAGATTGGGATTTTCTTTGACTTAGGCGATTAATTATAATTATAAACAGATCGCACTTTCAAGTTAATTTTTTGAGCGCTACGAGAGCGTCTAAAGGCGATGCTAAATGCACTTGGTTTTCATGGTGCACGAACAGGAAAGGATTTGTCAGAGGAAAAGCGGAAGAGTTCTTTGTGAAAACATGTCGTTTGTACCGACAGAAGTCAATAGAATAAGAAGACTTTATGCCGTAGGGACACGTTTTTCACTCTGTTAAAACTGTCTACATTTTATAAAAAGAAACTTTATACCTTTTTAGTTTTGTTGCAATCACGATATATTTGAGGTTCGATAACAACGGGTGCCATAACGATTGCTCAAATTACATTATAATCTAAATTACCGACACTGTATGGATTTGAATTCGTTGTTTTATTTGTACTTTATATAGTCTTCAAAGCGGTGTTCCAACAGCTTCACTCAATCACTCACTCGCCGATATGACATGTGAGTCATTGCTGATGCTTTCAGTCACTGGGCTCACCTTAATCCCCTGGATCACGTGGGCTAACACCAGGCGGAGTCGGTATTGTAACAAAACAAAACGATCGATATGAATCGTCTTTTTCTAAGAAAACTTGTTCGAATTATGTGGCCGATGTGCGTTTTTAGTAAAATCATGCAGTATCCCTACTTCATTGCTTCACGAGGTATTGTAGGTGACGGAATAAGCCGAATGGACCCGAATGTCAGCCTCAGTGCACGACAGCAGTCGTAACAAAATCGCAGTCTTGTGAAATCCCAGTGTCTTCGTCTATTTATTACTTAGCCACATTTATTTGACCCTGAGTTTACTTTGGATTGTTTTCTTATTTGGCATCTGCTGGGGTTTGCATTTTGCAAATGTCAAACTGTATTGAGGATAGTGTTATGCTATTTAGATTTCTGTAGCGTCATTTAGGAAAGTGTGGTGGCTCGTGTTTCAATATGGCGTTGCAATCCAAAGAGCAAACAAGCTAAAATGTTTCACAGTAATATTGACCAGAGACCGTATAGGTGTACAGAACCTGGGGAGTATCGGCCATTGAATACCCTGGTGTGGTGTGGTGTGGTGATGGGGTGTTATTTTTTTATCACTGCTTCAAGTAGACTTTTTTTCCCGAAAGGCGGGGCTA